GACCTGGGTAATGGTCCCACAAAATCTGCACACACCATGGCCCAAGGTTCTTCAGCGAGCTGAGTAAGCATATGTCCGGCAGCGGCTTGTTGACTGGATTTGAACCTTTGACAAGAATCGCAACTCAGAACATATTTACGAACATCTCTTAACATTCCAGGCCAGTAGTAGTTGTTAGCTATTCGTTGCCTTGTTTTGCGAATTCCGAAATGACCCGCCGTCGGTTCATCATGGTTTTCACGAAGGACCTGTTGTCTCAAGTGTAAGGGAATGCAGAGCTTCCATGGTTTTATGTCATCGTCTTGGGCGTAATTCGGAATGTGTCGGTATAGGTTCTGGTTCTCGATGATATAATCCGGATATTTCTGTGGATTCTGCTTAACCGCTTCTTTCCGTTGGATTACCCAATCCTGTTTCGTCGTTGTCATCGTTGTTCGTGCCATTAAGATCTTGTCCTCTGGTTGCCTTGATAGCGCATCAGCCACCACATTATATTTACCTCTGCGATATTCTATCGTGAAGTTGAACTGCTGTAACTCAAGCGCCCATCTTGCTATGCGTCCCGTAGGGTTGTCAATAGAATTTAACCACTTTAGAGATAAATGATCAGTGATGACAGTGAATTTGTACCCCTCCAGATACGGTCGCATTTTACGAATGCCCCAGACAATTGCTAAGCATTCCTTTTCGGTAGGCGAATAGTTTTTTTCTGCGTTGTTCAGCCGTCGACTTGCGTAGGCTATCACTGCTTCTTTTCCCTCCTGCTGCTGCGTCAATATGGCACCGAGTCCATAGTCACTAGCGTCAGTCTGCAAACAGAAAGGTTTAGAGAAGTCGGGGCATTGCAGGATAGGAGCCTCAGTTAACCTCTTCTTTAGTTCCTCAAATGCATTCTGTTGCTCTTCCTGCCATCTCCAATGTTTTCCTTTTCGTAACAATGACGTAAGAGGGTGTACTACTGTTGAAAAATCCTTTACAAAGCGTCGGTACCAAGAAGTCATTCCCAGAAAGCGTCGCAGTTCCTTCAGAGTCTTCGGTGGTTCCAATTGTTGTACTGCGGAAATTTTATCTGGATCTGTGTGTATTCCTTCTTGACTGACCACGTGCCCTAGGTATTTCATCGTGGTTTTAAAAAATTCACATTTCTCCGGATTTATCTTCAGTTGGGCTTGACGTAATTTTTTTAAAACCGTTTGTAGATGTGTCATATGTTCCTCCTTACTACGGCTCACAACAATTATATCATCCAGGTAGGCGAAAGCGAATGGTTCCATTTCAGGCCCAATTACCGAGTCTAAGGCGCGTTGGAAAGTTGCTGGGGCAGAGTGTAATCCGAAAGGCATAACCGTCCATTGGAATAAGCCACGTCCTGGTACCGTAAAAGAAGTAAACTTCTTGCTATCCGGATGCATTGGTATTTGCCAGTATCCGTTTTTGAGGTCCAGGCTGCTTATTACTTTAGCTTCTCTAAGATGATCCAGAATGTGACTAATCCGTGGTAATGGGTATGCGTCCGGGATAGATTTTGCGTTTAACTGTCTATAGTCGACACATAACCTCCACTTACCGGTTTTCTTCTTAACCAATACGATTGGTGCACTGTATGGACTACTGGAGGGTTCAATGCACCCCGTTCGGAGAAGCTCATCGATTTCTTCGTTTATAATCGCCTGCATAGCTGGGTTTCTTGGGTAGTAACGCTGTTTTACTGGGTGGTCATCCTTCATGGTTATAATGTGATAAGCCACGTTGCTCTTGCCTGTTATATCGTTAAACTGTTCCAGCTCCACTTCTAGAAATTCTTTGATAGCTGTACCTTTGGATGAATGCTCTCTTGCGATTGGATCCGGAGCGGTGTAGTCACATGACTGCTGTTGATCTTCGACGGTTATGGGTGGTAGTGGTTCTTGTTGTTGCTGCTGTTGCTGTTGTTGGTTCACTCGTTGCTGGTGGTTAACGCGTTGCTGTTGTTCCTTTTGATTAAGTTGCTGCTGTTGCTGTTGAGTAACCTGCTGTTGTTGTTGATTAACGCGCTGCTGTTGCTGTTGAATAATATACTCCTGTTGTTGATTAAATTGCATCCTGGGAGTGACATCGTTGGGTATCTCAATTGTGTGTAACAAAGTTGTGTAACGCTGCTGTTGTACAGGAAGATCAACTGTGACTGATGAATTTGCGATCCGCAGAGTCGTCTGTGCCTGCGCGAGGAAATCCATACCCAGAATCACGTTGTCAATTGATCTTTCCATGATGAGAAATGATAGATCGAAAGACCTATCACCGAAGGTAACCTGGCTGTCTAATACGTGTGAAATGTGCTGCGTCGTACCATCAGCTAATAAGATGACCATACTCGTATGTGTGACTCTCCCAAAACTGTGTTGATCCCTTAGGAGACTTTCAGCGATGATACTTCTAGATGCACCAGTGTCGATAGTGGCCGTTACTGCCGTTGTTCCAATGGTGACCGCCGCCGATATCGTGTGCTGGTTGTATGAAAGACTCTTTATTGGGGAACTTGTACTGCATGGGAGACTGCCTGTCCCCTCGTTCGAACAGTCTCTTGTTGGTTTCCCTGTTTGCTTACGTTACAATTTTGTTTACAGCATTCCTTAGTCCTTACTCCTCGTGTGCCACAAACCCAGCAGAATAGTACTTGCGGCCTTCTACACGTATATGCGAAGTGTCCTGGTTCACTACACCTTTTGCATGCGAGGTGGACGTTGATTCTCTCTGCATGTTGTGGTATTTTGTTTTCATGAGGTCCCCTTGCGTTCCGTACGACACCCATTCGCTCTTTGTGGATCATTTGTTGGAGGTTTTCAAATTCTTCGGCAAGTTGAATCAGTTCGGACAATGTGGAAAATTCACGTCACTTGATATGCAGTTGGTAATCTGGCAGACTATTTCTATATATTCGTTCCAATTGCTTCCCAGATGGGTATCTAGCCTGGCGCATGAGCTCCTGTAGACCTAGTACGTACTTCTTAAAACCCTCCTGTGGTATTTGTTTCCGGCAGCGTATGTCATCTTCTAATTTCTCTAAATAATGAATAGGAAGAAAGAATTGCAAAAATCTTCCTTGAAAGACGTCCAACATAACCACCTTCGGTTGTTATTCCGATACCATACTAACGCCTGACCTGTTAATAACTCGGGCATTGCTTTGGGTAACACATCTAGGGGAATCTGGTACGCCTCTGCCAACTCTTCAAGTCTCTCAACAAACTCCATAATATTGGATAGACCATCGTTGTGTACTGCCCACTTACGTACCTGATCCATGACTTTGGCAATACCTTCAAAGCTCTTTACAGGGATGGTGTTATTGTCTTCTTCACAAGGTGTAACGATTGTTGCCGTTGTTGGTTTTGGGGAAACATTGCGTCCGTATTTTTTCTCCATTTCGTTGAATAGTTTCACCAACTCCTCCGGATGGTTTTCGTCTGTTGCGATATCCCTTAAACGTTTGCGGAGTTCATCGACTGTCCCCGTAGCATCTTCTTCCAGTTTCTCCAGTATTGGTACTAGATCCTCTTTACGTGCAAACCTTATCCAACTTGTTTTTAGCATGTCTGTTGTTCTGTGCGTTTTGTTTTTTTTTTTTCGTATCGTTGAATGTTACTTACGAATTTTAATCACAATACAGGTATCTTTGGCTCCTTTGATTT